AGCCCCCTATATATTTGGTGTAGGTCAGGCGTAGTTGTACAGCGTTTTGGCGGCGTTGTTGGCTACGTTGGCAGCGTTTTTGTTAACACGTTTTTCGTGGTCAAGGTCGTTGGACTTTTGATTTTTCTTCGCCTGTGCTGAAATTTTTGCGGAGAAATTTTTGAATGTTTAACTCGGAATAGCGAGAAAAAGTGAAGATCTAACAATGAAGAACGGAGTTATAGCTATGCTCACTTTAACGAAGAAGTAAAACCGCACTGGGAGAGTGATGACTTATCGTTGGTGTGTGCTGAAGATACCGTCTCATATATTAACTGCACACTAAGCCAGAGCGAGAAATTAACAGATATGTGGAACCAGTAGGTGGTCAGTCGTGTGTTATCATTTCTTGTCCCCTTACTCGCCCGTTCTGAGCGATAGCATATCTCGACCAGTGCCGAGAACGCTATCTGTGTCCAAGCATTTCGATGTGAATGCTACATCGTGTTACCGCTGTCCGTGACTCACAATCGCTAGCTTGTCTGAATCAGTGTGTGCCTGAAGGCGACATCATTACACGGGAGCTTACAAAGGTACTTGACCGGGCTAGACTGACATCACATTGCAACCCGCAATGTTTCACGGTGTTACACGAATTGAAATGTACTAAGATCCATCTGTAATGTGGAAGCGTAACGAGACCCGATTAGGTATTAGCGCTACCTGTAATTTGGGCTAGCTCCCGTTAGACATCAAGCCATCAGATAATGATGTCACGCGTGTGAAAATATGATTAGTCTATCAAGCTGAAATGTGACGCTTACAAGTGCTTCTAACTGGCCTCCACTTAGTCATTCCACATACTGACGAACACCGCCCGCTGCGAGTAGAGATGTCAGTTGACCTCCTAATGGTCCCGGGTTCGAGTTGCAGTGTTGCGAACAGGCAATGGCAGTTCGAACGCAGCATATCCACGTAGGTTCGCATGCATATGTTCACACTTGTGTATGGATGGTGAAACAGTAACCCTCATGGACAATAACACTATGAACGTGCATGAGTTTGGATTGAATGTAAGACTAACAACCATATTTCTCTAGTTTTGGAAAATCACACATACAAATATAAGTAACCAATACGACTGTCCGTGGTTAGTTAAAGTTTAGACGTGAACCCAAATGACAGCTGTAGATCTAATCACTAGTGTGGCCATCAACAATAGATAGCGACTGATATAGGAATAAAGAAGCAAATGCCATCAATGCGGTTACCAGGTGGAATGATGCACAAATAAGTGGTACAGTAAAACAGTGATGACTTATCGTAAGAGGGTATTTTAGATGCTGTCCGCTATATGTGAAGTTGGGCTGATGATGGTCGCACAGCGTATGGATGCGACGGAGTGTCAGCTGCAGTCTCTGTGTGTCTTCCCCGTCTAAGACTGGACCGATCCGATCGTTTTGGTTTTTCTTCCTGCTGTGATTAACCGACACAGTCAGCTGAACTTAAACCTCGTGTCTTGCACGTTATATATATATATATATATATATATATATATATATATATATATATTCTCCGACAGTGGGGGGGGGCACTTTCTGGCGCTCAATGGTTTGCTACTGCCCGCCTCAAGCCAGGCAGCCCCTAGTCAAATTAGTGCAAACCCGCCAAAACTCACCTGCGTCTGGCCGTGGTCGCAGGTGCGTATCCGACTACGGTCGCAAAACACAACTGAATTGTTCCAGAACTTCAACGGCTGTCAGATCCCAATCTGTCTCTTTAATCACATTCCTGAGCCGGATCTGTTCCCCACTGCCTTGTGAGTCAGGCTATTGAGTCAAAGGCTCCGGGCGGAGTCCCTGAAGCCCAACCACCACCACGCGTGCGATTGCCCACCAATGCAATCGTGCAAGGCACTCAACTTCGGGTGTTGGAACGTGCGCACACTACTGGACCGGAACTCGAGTGAGCGTCCCGAGCGACGCACTGCACTAGTCGCAATGGAACTGGCGTGCTACAACATCGATATTGCGGCGCTCAGCGAGACCCGGCTCTCTGAGCAAGGTAACTTGCATGAAACTGGTGCTGGCTATACGTTCTACTGGGTGGGCGACGCCACCTCAGTACCACGTGAACATGGGGTCCGATTTGTA